TTTTTTTTTTTTTAACCACTACATGTGGCATGTTTTATTAGAAGTGAAATTAAGTATAGTCCATACTTAGGAGGGGTGCCTCAAACTAAAGTTAAGAAAAATAAACTAAACTTTCCCCGATAGTACAAAGTAAGAGTTAAAGATAACTATATGCTATTCGTCCTGGTAGCAAAACTAACAAAGTTACTTGCATTAGACAAGCATATTATAATATGCAAATTTAGAGCAATTTATTCTACCAATAATACGAGATGTTACCAAATTGTGTTTTTCTTCAACATTGAAAAAATAGGTTAAAACACTCTTAACCTAGAAACCAAAGAAAAGGAGGTAGGCAAGCAAAAGAGAGACGGAAAGAGATTCACCGGATTGACCAACTGACTAGGACATATGAGAGCGATAGACGAGAGTGGCCGCCACTATTGACTGACCTCTAGTCGAAGGAGGCAGATGGTTTCACTTTTTCCTGAAAACTATTATTCGATTGGAAAAGCCTCGAGAAGGTGATCTATATGAAAATATTTTCTTTTCGTCTACAGTAAAAGGCTACTTGACTTGTAAAAAAAATGGATAATTTATTATTTATGATTTAATAAATAACTCAAGTGGAACAATCTTCAGGGATATATGCACAAGAACACAATTTGACAGGAAAAGCCTTGAGAGTAGTGGCCTTTTGTACAGTAAGTCCAAATTTCTGACTCATGTCAATTTCTTCTAGTTTTAATCCCTCTTCCAAGTGTCAAAGTTGCATATCGAAGTGGCTAGCATGAGGTGCACCGTCCGACGGGTCAATGGCAAACCCAGGCATATCCTCCACCCCAAACCAAAGTGAATGAGCTCAAAATCTTGACATGTGAAATCAGTTTTGCGATCTAAAAACCTTTCAGGCATAAACAAATCGAGATTTGACCAAGTGTATAAATCTCTTTCGCTTGGCCAAACGATAACAAGAATTTGTGCATTTTAGCAACTACGTAGCCATTGATCTCTACATCAGCGTTAGCTTTGTGAGGTAGTAAAAAGGGGAAAGCAGGGTGATGCCTAAAGGTTTCTTTAACCACAGACTAGAAGTATGAGAGCCTTGAAATGTCTGATTCTTGAATCAGTTCGTTCATCTCAATCACATCCATGAGCTCCTTTCTTACTTTTAATATCTTGTTGGGGTTTTGCATTAATTGTATTAGGGTCGGACAAAACTCTCAAACTAAACCGAATTGAGCGGTTCTCAATTAAATACCCCAACGGGTATCTGAATATATATATTTTATATACACGAGGCTGAAATTGGTGGTGGAGATTTGTGATATGTGTGAGGTGTGCAGCGGTTTGGAGGTTGTTGGGGGTGGTGGTGGTGGTGAGGTCATTTTTTGGTGGTGATGGTGAGGTCATTTTCATTAGGGGTGGTGGTGGAGTTTCTGTGGTGGTGGTGGTTTCTTTGGTGTTGATGTTGGCGGCGATGGTGTGTTTTGTGGTGGTGGTGGTGGTGGTGGTGATCACAAATGATTTGTTGAATTGTGACCAATAAATATTGTGTGACCTACAAGTTTAATTTGTAACCAATAAAAATAATTTGTGACCTATAATTTGATATTTTGTAACTATAAAATAAATTGTGACTTATAAATTTTGTGATTTGTATCCGATAAACAAATTGTGACTTTAAAATTTTTAATTTGTGACCAAGGAACGAACAGTGACGTATAAAAAATTTTAATTGTGATCTTATATTTTTTGAATTGTGACCAAAT